TGGGTGTGGGTTAACGAACAGTCTGCTGTATCCTTTCCTTCTTTCCCTCCTTTTTTCCTTCTCCTTCCTTCTTTTTCTCCTTCCTTCCTTTGTCTTCCTTCCCCCTTCTTTCTCTCCTTCCTCCTTCCTTCCCTCTTTCCCTCCTTCCTTCCTTTGCCTTCCTTCCCCTTCTTTCCTCTTCCTTCCTTACCTCTTTCTCTCCTTGCCCCTTCTTTCTTTCTCTCCTTCTTTCCTTCCTTCCATCTCTCTTTTCTTCCTTCCTTCTTTCCTTCCTTCCTTCCTTCTTTCCTTCCCTCGCTCTTTCTCTCCTTCCTTCCTTCCTTCCTTCCTTCCTTCCTTCCTTCCTTCCCTTCCTTCCCTCTTTCTCCTCCTCCCCTTATTTCTATCCTTCCTTCCTTTCTCTCTTTCTCTCCTCCTTTCCTTCCTCCCCTTCTTTTCTCTTCCTTCCTTCCGTCCTTCCCTCTTTCTCCTCCTTCCCCACTTCTTTCTTTTCTCTTCTTCCTTCCCTTCTTTCTTCTTTCTTCCTTCCCTCTTCCTCTTCCTTCTCCTTCTTTCCTTCCTTGCTTGCTTCCCTCTTTCTCTCCTTCCTCCTTCTTTCCTTCCTCCTTCCTTCCCTCCTTCCCCCTTTCTCTCCTTTCCTCCTTCTTTCCTTCCTTCTCTCCTGTTTTCTTTCTGTTGATTTTAAGCATGGGGAGAGGGCTGCTGATATTGTTTCCCAAGTTGCTCCTGACACGACTAATAATAATAATAATAATAATAATAATAATAATAATAATAATAGCAAATCCATACGCCCTGGAGCTAAATGGGAAGCCTGTCCCATTGCCTTCCTTCCCAGAAGCAGAGCACAGGCCTACTTCCTATCTCTCTCTCTAATCTGATTTCTCTCTCTCTCTTTCCTTCTCCTTCCCTCCCTTTTTCTTTCTGTATGCATTGAATTCATTTCAATCACTGATGTTGAGAGTGGGGAGGGGGCTGCAGGGACTGAAAATGCCTGAGCCCTAGATTTACATGGGGAGCCTCTTTCCATTGCCTTGCTTTGCCTTCACAGAGGCTGGTTGCTCCTTCTTTCCTTCCTTCCTTCCTTCTTTCTTTCAAGGGCCCCACCCGGGCACCCATGAGGATGGAACTGCTTTCTCCCCCCCCCCCCCCCCTTCCCCTTCCTCTCCTTCCCACCACAGCACAGGCAGGAGAGCCAAACCCATGCCCAGGGAGAGCAACAGGGCCAAGCCAAGACCCATGGGGGGGGGGGGGCAAGCAGCTAGCTCCCCACCCTTTCCTCCTTTGGCCTCCAGACCCTCAGCCCAGGCCAGGGAGAGACCTCAGGACGGGGTCCTGGGGCGCCCCATCCACAAAGAGGGACCTATACATCGCAACCTGTTTTGTGGGGGGGGGGGGAGGGAGGCTTGCAATCAATGCCCCCAAGCCCACACTGGCTCAGCCTTGCTCCGCATTCCTTTGCAGCCGTGGCTCCGCCCTTCAAGACCCTTCCCCACCCCAGCCCCACCCCCAACAGGGAAAGGGAAGGACCTTGCAGGAGAAGCCCATATTGGGGGGGTGGGGGTGGAGGGGGATGTTGAGAATCCCTTCTCTAGGAGGGGCAGCTGGGTCACCTTTGGGACCTGGCTGGGCATGGAGGGGGGGGGGCAACCCTGGGAGCAGCAACAGGCACCCACCGTTTGTTATAAAAGGGGGGGGGCTATTGGTTTTTATTGGGCCCCCGACCTATTTCAGGCTTGAGCTGAGGGCATCAAGGTCAGCGTGAATGCATGCATGCATGTATGTATGTATGTGTGTATGTATGTATGTATGCATGTATGTATTTATATTGTGTGTGTATGTGTGTGAATATATGTGTGTATGTAAGTGTGTATATATTGTGTGTAAATATATCTGTGTGTATATATACGTGTATATATATGTGTGTGTGTATAATGTGTGTGTGTGTAGACCTTGCTATAAAAGGGGAGCTCATTTGCTTCTATAGTATCTCTGACCCATTTCCTGTTTGAGCTGAGGGCATTCAGATCAGCATGCATGTATGCATGTGTATATGTATGTGTGTGTGTGTGTGAATATATATATATATATATATGTGTGTGTGTGTGTGTGTGTGTGTGTGTGTGGTATATATTTCTGTGTGTGTGTAAATATGTGTGTGTGCAACTCATATATGTGTGTGTATGTGTGTGTGAATATATATATATGTGTGTGTGTGTGTGTGTGTTGTGTATATTTCTGTGTTTGTGTGTGTGTGCATAGACCTTGCTATAAAAGGGGAGCTCATTTCCTTCTATTGGACCCCCATCCCATTTCTTGCTTGAGCAGAGGGCATCCAGTGTTCATGTGTGTATGTGTGTGTGTGTGTGAGTACATCTGTATGATGGTCACCCCATTGCAGAGTCTGGGTTCTCTGTGTGTGAATGTAGGGGTGGGGGGGGGGGTGCACTGCAGGCAGGTCCCAAAGGGGAGAATGGGGAAGGGGAGGGTTGGGCAGGAGAAGGAAGACCCTCTGATCCAAAGGAAGAGGAGGGAGGAGGAGGGAGGGGGCTGGGGCTTCTCAAATCACATACACACCCCGCCTTGTGTCCTAATTTCTGCTGGAAGAGTTGGAGCAGGTTCCCAAACGTTCCCATTCCAGACGTTTGAAGGGCTCTCTGAAGGGCCCGAGTCCCTGTCCAAAGAGCAGACCCCTCCCCAAATGCCCCATCCCCTTCCTCAGACAGGGAGGGCCCTCCGCTCGCTCGCTCCCTCGCTCCCTCTTCCAGACACAAAGGCTCATTTTGGAAGGAGGGAAGGGGTCTCCATCCAAGCAGGGAAGGTCCTACCACTGAACCTGTGGACAAAGAAGGGGGCAAGAACCCCCCTCCAAAAAGAGACCCCCGCAGGAGTGAATGGCTGGAAGAAAAGGGGGTCTCCCAAGAGACCCTAAAGGCTGGCACAATCCTCCATGGAAGAGGAGCAGCAGTGGAGGAGACCCATGGATGCCCATCCCAGGGGCACTGAATGCATTCCTGAGCATGGCACATGGAGGGTCCCAGGGAGTCCTGTCGCCGTACCAAAGGCAGCGTTTCCCACAAGGGACCCCAAAGGAAGGCACGCCCCTCCTTTGAGACCTGTGGGCACCACCTCTTTGCCAACACACATGGATGGACACTGCCTGCATTCCTAAAGCATTGCACATGGAGGATCCAAAGAGAACTCTGCCTTGGGGCCAAAGGCACAAGAGCAAGGCTGGAAAGCATGGGGGGGGGGGTGGTCTCTTCCTTTGAACAGGAGTAGAAGTGGAGGAGGAACCACTACACACATGCATTTGGGAGCATTGCACATGGAGGGTCCAAAGAGAGCCCTGCCTCGGGGCCAAAGGCACAAGAGTGAGGCTGAAAGGCGTGGAGGGTCCCCAAGGGGTCTCCAGGATGGGCGTGCCCTTCCTTGGGACTGGGGAAGAAGTGGCAGAGGAGCCGCCAAGGGTGCCAGGCACCTCCTTCTCACATGGACACCACATGCATTTGGGAGCATTGCACACGGAGGACCCAGGAGAATCCCTCCCCTCATTGTGCCAGACAGAAGATCCAAAAGGACCCTCCTTGGAACAGGGGCAAAGGAGGAGGACGAGACCCCATGAGACCCCCTTCAGACAGGTCTGAAGGAAGGGGTCCCACCTCCTTGCCTGTTGGACTACACGCATGGACCCTGCATGCATTCAGGAGCATTGCACATGAAGGTCCACAGAGAGCCCTGCCTTGGGGCCAAAGGCAAAAGAGCAAGGCTGGAAGGCACGGGGGTCTCTTCCTTTGAACAGGGGCAGAAGTGGAGGAGGAGACCCCATGGGCGCCAGGGCTTCAACACATGGACACACAGGCTCAGAACATGCTTTCTGCACAGGGACGACCCAGAGAGCCCTGCTTTGGAGCTAACACACACTCTTCCGAACCTATGCATTCACCACATGCATCCTGGAGCATGGCACATGAGAGAGAGTCTTTGTGCACATAGGGACACAGGTGCACGCTCTCCCATGCACTCACAAACCAATGCCATGCACTCTTCTGGCCATATATCCATTCACACATGGGTGCAGCATGCATCCCACATGAAAGAGAGAGACCCATCTTTGTGCCTGATGCACATGGGGATGCAGGTGCACACACTCCCTTGCACTCCCAAAACCATGCCATGCACTCTTCTGTCCATATGTCCATTTACACATGGGTGCAGCATGCATCCAGAGAGAGAGAGAGAGACTTTGTGCCTGATGCACATGGGGACATAGGTGCACGCTCTCCCAAAACCATGCCATGCATTCTTCCGTACATATATCCATTCACACATGGGTGCAGCATGCATCCAGAGCATGGCACATGAGAGGGAGAGAGAAAGAGAGAGACTTTTTGCGTGATGCACATGGGGACATAGGTGCACGCTCTCCCAAAACCATGCCATGCATTCTCCCGTACATATATCCATTCACACATGGGTGCAGCATGCATCCAGAGCATGGCACATATGAGAGAGAGCGTTTGTGCCTGATGCACATGGGGACACAGGTGCATGCTCTCCCATGCACTCCCAAAACCATGCCTTGCACTCTTCCGTACATATTTCCAGTCACACATGGGTGCAGCATGCATCCAGAGCATGGCACATATGAGAGAGAGCCTTTGTGCCTGATGCACATGGGGAGACAGGTGCGCACTCTCCCATGCACTCTTCTGTATATATATCCATTCACACATGGGTGCAGCATGCATCCCATATGAGAGAGAGAGACCCATGTTAGTGCCTGATGCACATGGGGGCACAGGTGTGCGCTCTCCCTTGCACTCATCAACCCAAGCCATGCACTCTTCCGTCCATCCATCCATTTGCACATGGGTGCAGCATGCATCCCACATGAGAGTGTGTGCTGGCTTTGTGCCCGCTGCACATGAGGGCACAGGTGTGCGCTCCTCGGGCATGCTCTCGGGAAGCCCTGCAGCCCGGTGGCGAGCGCCGCTTACCTTTGGCCCCTCGGAGGACGAAGCCGAACCCTTCATGCTCCCGCTTTTGGAGGACGGCCGCCTTCTCCTCGATGATGTAGTCGCTGGGCAGGAAAGAGCAGAAGAGAATGAAGCTGGAGGGAGGCGGCAGTGGCGGTGGCGGCGGCGTCAGCACCATGGCGGTGGCAGCGGCGGCGGTGGCAGCGGCGGTGCCCGTGCTCCTCCTGGGGGGCCCCCTCCCCTCCTCCTCCCCCTCCCCCTCCTCTTTTTGCTTCTATTGCCTGGCATGGCATGGCAGCGGGAGGAAGGGGAGGGGGCTCCAGTTGGGGTCGCTCCCACCCACCCTCCGCTGCCTGGGACCCTCCATTGGAGGACAAGAGGCGGGCAAAGGCAAAAGGGGGGGTCCCCTTCCCCACCCACAGCCCCCCTCCCCAATTCAATCACCTGCGAGTGGATGCCGAGCCTATGAGCCTCGAGACCCCCTCCTCTTATTCCTCCTGGCCAGGCGGCTGCCCCAGAGTGGGCCATGCGAGGGGTGGGGAGGGGGGCATAAGGGGAATCTGTCATGATTGACAGGAGGGAGGGGTCGTATTGGGGAGGGGGCTTGCATTTCCTGGAAAAAGAGAGAAAGAGAGTCTCCCCTCCCTCCCTCTCTTCCTTCCTCTCTCCTTTCTCCCATTCACACATTCTCTCTCTCTTTCTCAGGACCCCCTCCCCTCCTGTTGCTAAGCAACTGCCTGTCATTGAAAAAAAGAGGGAGGGGCAAGCATTGGGGAGGGTAGGAGGGGAGGGTCTCGAGGCTTTTGCTGAATGGGAAAAGGCAGCACACATAGGAAAGAGGCCTGTCTCCCCCAAAGGAAAGCATGCTGCCTTTTCCACATTTGAGGAAGGGGCCAGCCCCCCTCCCCAAATAGGAAAGCACACACATGGCTATATCTGCAGGTAACCCCCCCCCCCAATTTCAAGATATGCACACAATGCTGCATGGACACCCCCCCCCCCCCCCGTCCCCCACCTGAGGTACAGAATCTGACCATTTGAAGGGACTCCCAAAGACCATCCAGTCCAACCCCTTCTAGATGTTTTGGACTTCAACACAATTCCTAATAGCCGGCACTCTTTGTCTGCTTTAGGCAAGTTGCAATTAATCACCTCGATGAGCACTGAATGGTGTTGCAGCTTCAAAGCTTCTTTCAAAAAACATTCTAGACAAAGATCAATCAGGGCCAGCTAACACCTCCCAACAAAGGATTCCCCCAGGCAGGAAGTAGCCAGACATTGAAGCTGCAAGCCCATTCAATGCTAATCCAGGTGGCCAATGGCAATATCCACATTTGTCTCCCATCCTGGACATCATTCCACAGGTATATAAACCTCATAACCTCTGAGGATGCCTGCCATAGATGTGGGCGAAACCTCAGGAGAGAATGCTTCTGGAACATGGCCAGACAGCCCGGAAAACTCACAGCAACCCAGTTATTATTACTACTACTGCTGCTGCTGTGACTATTTCAACCACCTTGGCAGCCACCTCTCCACAAAAGTCAACATTGACACTGAAATACAACACCGCCTGAGCTCTGCGAGTGCAGCATTTTTCCGAATGAAGCAGAGAGTGTTTGAGGACCGGGACATCCGTAGGGAGACCAAGGGACTTGTTTATGAAGCCATTGTCCTCCCAACCCTGCTATATGCCTGCGAGATGTGGGCTGTCTACAGACATCAACATTTTATACTGAAATGCAACACTGCCTGAGCTCTGCAAGTGCAGCTCTTTTCCGAATGAAGCAGAGAGTGTTTGAGGACAGGGACATCCATAGAGAGACCAGGGGCTTGTTGATAAAGCTATTGTTCTCCCAACCCTGCTTTACGGCTGTGAGACTTGGACTGTCTACAGACGTCAACATTTTACACTGAAATGCAACATGGCCTGAGCTCTGCGAGTGCAGCTTTTTTGCCGAATGAAGCAGAGAGTGTTTGAGGACCGGGACATCCGTAGGGAGACCAAGGGACTTGTTTATAAAGCTATTCCCCTCCCAACCCTGCTATGCGCCTGCGAAACGTGGGCTGACTACAGACTTCACATGCAACTCCTGGAACGATTAGATCAGCGTTGCCTCTGGAAAATCCTGCAACTCGTTTAGGAAGACAGGAGGACAAATGTCCGCCTGCTGGAAGAAGCAAAGACCACTAGTATTGAAATGATGCTCCTCCGCCATCAACTCCGCTGGACCGGCCACGTTGTGTGGATGCTCGACCACTGCCTCCCAAAACAGTTGCTCCACTCCGAACTCAAGAACGGAAAACGGAATGTAGGTGGGCAGGAAAAGAGATTGAAAGATGGGCTCAAAGCCAACCTTAAAAACTGTGGCATACTGAGGTCTTTTGGAAACTATCAACCTCACTTGCCTAGTTTCCAACAGACTTCACAACCTCTGAGGATGCTTGCCATAGATGCAGGTGAAGCGTCAGGAGAGAATGCTTCTAGACCATGGCCATACAGCCCAAAAAACCTACAACAACCCAGTGATTCCACCCATGAAAGCCTTCGACAAGACATCAAATCTTGATTGTTTGCTGTCTGGAGTTCCCCTGTTGTTTCCTGTCTTGGCTCTGGTGTTTTAATACCGGCGACCAGATTTTGTTCTAGGTTCTTGTGGGTTTTTTCGGGCTATAGAGCCATGTTCTAGAGGCATTTCTCCTGACGTTTCGCCTGCATCTATGGCAAGCATCCTCAGAGGGGGGAGGTCTGTTGGAAGTAGGAAATGGGTTTATATATCTGTGGAATGGCTGGGGTGGGGCAAGGAGCTCTTCCCTGCTGCAGTTAGGTGTGAATGTTTAGCTGATCACCTTCATTAGCATTTGAAGGCCTGCCTGAGCCTGGGAAAATCTGTTGCTGGGAGGTGTTAATCTGTGTCTGGTTTTTTCCTCTCTGTTGTTTAGCTGTTATAATTTTAGAGTTTTTTAATACTGGTAGCCAGATTTTGTTCATTTTCATGGTCTCTTCCTTTCTGTTGAAATTGTCCACATGCTTGTGGATTTCAATGGCTTCTCTGTGTAGTCTGACATGGTGGTTGTGAGAGTGGTCCAGCATTTCTGTGTTCTCAAATAATATGCTGTGTCCAGGTTGGTTCATCAGGTGCTCTGCTATGGCTGACTTCTCTGGTTGAAGTAGTCTGCAGTGCCTTTCATGTTCCTTGATTCGTGTTTGGGCGCTGCGTTTGGTGGTCCCTATGTAGACTTGTCCACAGCTGCATGGTATACGGTAGACTCCTGCAGAAGTGAGAGGATCCCTCTTGTCCTTTGCTGAACGTAGCATTTGTTGGATTTTCTTGGTGGGTTTGTAGATTGTTTGTATGTTGTGTTTCCTCATCAGCTTCCCTATGCGATCAGTGGTTCCCTTGATGTATGGCAGGAACACTTTTCTGTTTTTGTTCGTTTTCATGGTTTTCTTCCTTTCTGTTGAAATTGTCCACGCACTTCTTGTGAATTTCAATGGCTTATCAGTGTCATGACGGTTGTCAGAGTGGTCTAGGAGAACTCCAGACAGCAAACAATCAAGTGCCAGCTAACCCGTCCCAAACTGAAGATGCCTCCCTGAAACAACAGCCAGGCTACCTCTATGCAGAGACTCCCACGGATTGACTTTGCAAACTTCATGGTTACTCAATGCTAATCAAGCTTGCTGATTTGCAACATTTACACTTGAACATTTGCTCTAAACAGATTTAAACAGATTTTCTGACATTTCGCCTGCATCTATGGCAAGCATCCTCAGAGGTAGTGAGGTCTGTTGGAACTAGGAAAAAGGGTTTATATATCTGTGGAATGACCAGGGTGGGACAAAGGACTCTTGTCTGCTGGAGCTAGGTGGGAATGTTTCAACTGACCACCTTGATTAGCATTTGATGGCCTGGCATTGCTTAGAGCAAACTTTTGTTGAGAGGTGATTAGATGTCCTTGTTTGTTTCCTCTCTGTTGTTTTGCTGTTGTAATTTTAGAGTTTTTTTTAATACTGGTAGCCAATCTGTGTCAATCTGCATTCATATCTAAAGTCACTCTATACATTTCAGATACCAGTATATACATATGCAAATAGTGCAACTGCATGCATGCCTTATATGCATTTTCAATGCTACAGAATCCTGGGAGTTGTATCCCAAGGCAGAATCCTGGAGTTGTAGTTTGCACTCTTCGGCAGAGAAGGCTAGAGACCTTGTAAAACTACAGCGCCTGGGATTCAATGTTATGGAGTCCCGGGGGCTGTAGTTTTGCACAGTCTCTAGCCTTCGGGGCCACAGAGTGCAAACTACAGCTCTCAAGATTCCACAACATTGAGCCACGGCAAGGAAAGCAGTGTCAATCTGCATTCATGTCTAAAGTCACTCTATACATTTCAGCTATATACATATGCAAATAGTGCAACTGCATGCATGCCTTACATGCATTTTCCAAGTGGGAAGAAGGTTTGATGGGGAATGAAGCCTTTTGCTTGCCTCTTCCAACTCCTGGGCCGGCATCTGCCGATTCTCCTCCCGACACAATGAAACCCATTGGGAATAGAGACAGCCCTACCCTTCCCTCTCTCCTTCCACTTTGAATACTGCAAACGCTAATGAGGAATCAAAGCGACATTCAAACCCCTCATAAATAAGTAAACAGCCCCAACCCTTCGGAAGATGGCTTCGGAAAACAACAACAAGGAGGGAGTAGAGCAACTGCTTTGGGAGACGGAGAGTGTTTGAGGACCGGGAGATCTGTAGGGAGACCAAGGGGCTTGTTGATAAAGGTATTCCCCTCCCAACCCTGCTCTATGCCTGCGAGACGTGGACTGTCTACAGAAGTCACATGCAACTCCTGGAACAATTCCATCAGCGCTGCCTCCGGAAAATCCTGCAAATCTCTTGGGAAGACAGGCGGGGAAATGTCAGCTTGCTGGAAGAAGCAAAGACCACCAGCATTGAAGTGATGGTCCTCCGCCATCAACTTCGCTGGACCGGCCACGTTGTCCGAATGCCCAACCACCGTCTTCCAAAGCAGTTGCTCTACTCCGAGCTCAAGAACGGAAAACGGAATGTTGGTGGACAGGAAAAGAGATTGAAAG